GAACCATAAATAGCAATACACGGTAGAGACCTTGAGGCTTGAGCTGGTCCGAAAATAGTTGTCATCAAACTAATGCGCATGTGTTTTTCACTCTTTGTGAACGTACTACAGTTGCATATGACAACGTGCACGTTACGTTTTGTAGGTATCCTAACTTTATCTATTGACTACTTTTGTTTATAAAATGAATTTTTTCAAATTGTTACTGTATTTTGTGCGCAGTCCGCTACAGAAGAGTTTAACTGCAATACATGTATGAAGAATCACAAACAAATAGGTAAAAGTTATTACTAATATTATTATAAATAACATTAACAATGAATTGAATATATTAACAAAAACACTAAATTGTTTTTATTTAATCATGAAAAATAAGTTAATATAATTTTCTTGCCATTTTCGTTGTAATTAGTAATTACTTAAAATATAGTTACAAAATTTAATGACCACGCGATTAAAAAGTGTGGTAAAATACATAATAGAAATCATTCGATTGTTAAGTTTTCTTGAAGATTACTACCATTCGTTTCACTCGCTTGCTAAAATATTCTAATGTAAATCCATCAATCAAATACCTGTGTTACAACAATATTATTAAAATGGATAGTTTGTTTGTATCCTCATTTCACCATCCAGTTATTACTTTTTGGTTGTAAGTAAATGTAATACAAAAATATAGTATTATTAAGACTTCGATTTCATTGTTATTTTATTAGTTGGATTTTTTAAACCAAAAATCACGATTTCTACTGTAATTTGTAACTAGACGCTAAATTCATAATTGTCTTAAGACTTAAAAATATTTCGACGAGTTAAAAACCTGAATTTATTTATTTTTTATCATATTGTGCCAATTTCAAATACTATAATAAATGTATACATTTACATAGTCGGTATAATTGGAGTTTTGACTTTCGAGAGATAAAATCGCATCAGTGACGTATTTCCCTTTTTTTTTCTAGGAGATAATTACTAGACACAAATCGGCGCGTCAGAGAACTCTGTTCCCGGCATCCCTTATTTGTTACCTTACATTTACGCGAGGTGCATTTATATGGGCCATGTTTTTTCTTAAAACACTCATGTTTATGAACAAAACAAAAATTAATTAAACCGCCGGCAACGAAAAAAAAACCTAGATAAGGTGTCCAATGTACCACTGTACATGCACATAGAAATCACGGTTATTTGCATTTACAATCACAAAAAAACAATGCACACTTTACTACTATCGATAACACATTGATTACAAATACGTTAAGGATTCAAGAGATTGAAAAAAAAAAAATGTAATTAATTATTAAAATGATTATCATTTATCGCCCGAATCGCCCCCCGTAAACACGCCACAGATGATTTCATTAAAATGTAGTACAACATTGGCTATACTAGTATTATTAAATTCTCTTAGGACACGAGGTGTTCTCTAACGTCTTTATTAATTGCATCCCATTCTCTAATTACACTGTTATTGGTTTTTCACAAGCGGCTTACATCATCGCCTAAGTATATATTATGTATTATAATTTTAGAGATGATTTTTTTAACGCAGCGTCAACCGTAACTGTCAGGAATATAACGTGAAAGATATGCATCGGTAAACGACGGTTTTTTTTTTTCGAAGTGATGACCAAATGTCGTTTTTAATACACAGCGACGCCTGATCACATGTATTGTCTGCATATGACTTTCTTTAACCTTATCCCTCAGTGTTAGCCACTGTACGCGCCGCATCCGAAAAAAAGTGCGCGCCTAAATACATAATAATGACCGCGTTCGCAAATCTCGTACACTTATAAATCGCGATTTCAATAAAACGCGCCGTATCTATGTATTATATATACACCGAGCTTGGGTTATAACTCGATGCAGAGATATATTTAAATAATGCCTGGGTTACGCAATGGTTCTTCATTTCAATGGACCTAAGATGAATTCATCCGACTCGCATCGACATAATTTCTCGTGAAATTTTACGTTTCGCAGCTATAGAACACGAAAATTGAAACTGTCAAAAGAGTCTAGACCGGCAGTACCCGTTAATCCGTATGTCTTATAAAAAAAAAAAAAACACATATCCCTGTATTAAAAAAATGATTAAATATTAATAATTGCATAGGCGACGCGTGCGTTATGATCGAATTAAAAAACGCATTGAACGCATTTAAAATCGTTTTTAACAAATATTAAAAAATACCTACGCATTTCCCTTGACTGATTGTGCCACGATTGGCAGATAAAAATACAATATTGTTATGATTTTATTTGTACACGACACTTTCAAAGACAAAACTTTTATCATTACTATTTACTTCAACTAATCAATTTGTTATTTGACAAGTGTTTCGTCTCGTATCAATTAAACATTAAATAACTGAGTTTTTAATTCATGATTTTCACTAAATGTGTTCTGTATAAAAAAAAAATCAAATGAAATAAGTAATTATCATAATTATTTATTGTACATTTACATAATTTATTGCTTAAAACACGTTTCAATATGTTCGTTAATATAAATACATTAAAACAATATAATAATAATAGTATTACAATGTATCGTTTATTTTCTTTTATATCAATTTACAATATATATTAATGTGTGTTCATTGAATACTCCTCTTAGCTCAGATAAATATTAATTTGTTTTAACTGAAATATACAATAATTAATTTAAATGTGATAAATGCACTTGTTAACAAGCAAAAAATACCTAATTCTATCACGATTTTTGACTATTTATACAGTATTCCGCATCTACAATCATGATTACCATTACCGGGTTTACCCGAATAAAATACCATTTTCTCTGAGTCTTTTAAGCTTGGCCTATGACAATGATTTTAAATCATTGACATAAACGAATGAAAAAATCATTAACGGCAGACTTGATTTCATAGCACGCCTATAACCTAAATACATAAGTATTTGTCGTTGAATTTTTAATGTTATTAGGTTATACACACCCTCAAGTCTCACCTGCTTATAATATCTCTTAAATGTCACTGAAATGATTCAATTTGTGTTTTCCAAACACAAGCACAAGCGTGAACTTTCAATTGATAATTTAGTGTAAACAAATAGTATTGGCGAGTGAAATGGAAGGGATAAGGATTGAGGAGGGAATGACAACAAAAAAAAGGTACACACTAGCGTGTACCTTGTAGATTACTTAAAGCAGATTTTTATGCTAAATTTATAAGACACAATCGTTTACACCAAAATAGGTCTAGACTGACAATGAGATATAATCAATAAGGATATACACGTGCTTAACTCCAATAAACACGTGAACTGTTAATAATGTATAATCGTCAGATTTTAAGGAAGTCTACTGTATCGTTTTTTTCCAATGTGTCCCGTTTGTTTCTGATGCTGTAAACAGGTTAATATGCTAAAGTTTTTGTTGTTGTTCGACTAAAATATGGTTGTATACATTTTTTTTTTTTATTAGTATTGTGTCACGTTCATCGTTTACGGTGATCATGATCGACATGTTAATCATTCGATGACATATTCCGTATTTTATTAAAGTGAATTGTCAACGTACTGCGTTATACAGCGTAACTGATCACAGACGAATTATAATTTTTAGCTATTATACAATTTGATACAATATACGTTATGTCATTATCGCTGCAGTATTAGTTGCAAACTAAAGACTAAAATTGTAAGGGGACATTAAATAGTGACAAAATTTTACAGCACAGTGGGCAACTATGCTTTATAAGTGTGTCTTGTTAAAAATATAGATAGTGTACATTAGCGCAACTAGAGGGGGCTAGGGAAGCTCTAAAAAAATATCAGCAACCTATTAGGCACACTTGAAATGTATGGCCTACAATTTTTAATGAAATTCTGAGGGAGCTTTCAGAGTTTTTAAAAGATCTGAACTTCCTTAGCTCTCCTCTAGTTGCGCCAATGGTAGTGCATAACCAAGAACAGAATCAAATTTGTTAAATATAATATAGTGAATCCTGTACCTGTTTTATTTTTTATTTAACAATTTAAGAATGTTTAGTGTACATACGTAGTTTCTTTACAAAACTTATTTGGTTCAAAAATATTTATTATCTTTTTTACTCGACCAGGTTATTATTTTTTAATAAGTGAGCGATAATATGCGAGCAAATTGTAAACCGTTTAGACCTCGCAGTATTTAGGTAAAGCAAACATGTATATTTATTTAAATATAAAATACGATTTTATAGAAATAAATATTTATTATGTATTATTATTTTTTTAATTTCTCAGTTTTGCATTAAAACTAAGTAATACCACTTTGCTGAATATTTCAACATGTTTAGCTCTAATTTTCTTTATTCAATACACTGGACAATGAACGTAACGAGGTTTGTAAAAGTAAATGTACAAATACTCGTATTTAAAAGTGGACAAAAAAATCAATAATATTAAGTATCATCAACCATGTTAGTGTGATCGATTATTATTTAAATTATTCACACATATTTTCATTGCAAAATGATTCAAAATATTATTCGATAATAATTCTGTATTAGTGAAAATACTTGAAAATATAACTAATTATACATTTTTTACTATATCTAATCCATGCACGTTTCCGATTCTAGCGAATCAATTATACAATTTTATAATCGTTAAAATAATTATAAATATTTGTAGGTATTTATCAATTGCGTTTTGAACCGAAGTCCAGAATTATTATTATTTTTTTTTTTAATATGCTTTGCGTACCAGTGCAGTGTATGCACTTTGGATTCATTTTGTACGACTGTATGTAACAATCAACGATAATGATTTCAATATTTTTGCGGTCAACGTAACTGTTCGAACAAAAGTAGAAAATTCTTAACAGTGGGAAGTGGGAACTGGCATTGCGATGCGGATTACCTAGAGAAGCCATCTGGAACTCCATGTGCACGTTGTTATGGTAACACGGGTCGTGTGAAGACTTGTACGCTGTACGATTCACGGTGCCCCGTCGTTCAAGGTTTTATCAATAAAAAATACATTCATTTAAATTGAACACTACATTCTCCTTCTTAACAATACACAACAACGTATTGTTATCATACCATACTGTTACCGGTTGGATTTTTCCTAATGACTACGGAGAAGCAGAGAGTGAGAGAGTTCAGTAGGTCTTCAATGCTATATGTACCTAATCGCGTGACCACCGTGATCAGAGTGCCGGCAATCGTAAATACTTACACTACTTCTTAAACTCGTACAAATATAACATAACACAAGCCACGACAGTCAACAGATAACCATTAGGCACCTTGAACTATCGGCCCAACCTGTGCTCTGTTGTACTCGAGACTCCAACGTACGCGTTTGTTCGTTTATAAAAAAAAAAAAAAACTAATATTTTATCAATAGTTATTTTCCAAAAGAGAAAACTTAACGAAAATGAACGGGTTCGCGTTGAAAACGATCGCTGTCACGGCACTCGTATGCTTTTTGGCCGACGTAAGTATTTCGTGGCATGCCATATATTAAAAAAAAAAAATAATAATAATAATACCCATATTTTTTGGTTATTAAAAACAAAATGTTGGTTTGATTAAGCATAAAACGTATTCGCGACGTGAGTTTAACTCATAAATTAATTACATATCAAATTAAATATGACAATAATCTTCATAAATTATGCATCATAATCCGTCCATTATAATAATATATGTTGTTTTACTATTACAAGAGTAATATAGTATAACGTAAGTAATTGTACTTATGTTTGTTTATAATATAATTACAATGTTTTTATTAGTGTAACTGTAATGTACGTACTACATAATAATAATAATATGATTATTATCATTATCATGTAAAAAGCTACCTGTGTTGTCGGTGACCGGATTTCAACTATTAGAATACATTTATTTGTTAATGTTATAAATATCCACCGATCTTTGCGTGTTCAGCGTTTTACCAATGTATCATTTTACCATAAGGCATACATATTAGTGAAACAATCCGTGTAGATTTTATTTATCATTTCTTATCGTGTGTATCCAAATTAATTTGCTACGCTTTGTCAGCTTTTGCACCCCAAGGTTAATGAGTTCTTCAATGCTTCTTATCCAATAGAATAAAATAACATAAATTATGCATATACAACTCAACGGTCATCGTTCGATATGAATCAAAGATGTATATTATGTATACAGTCGGTTGTTGAAATAACTTAAGAAATAGGAAATTATACATTTCTTTTAATGGTTTAAATACTTTACGAAACAAAACCAAAAGCGTAGCTCTAATATAACAACAATCATTATCTATAATCACTATTCTCGCTCGTTACAAAAAAGTAGTTTAATTCTTATTTTCATATTTCCTTGGATAGTAGTGGGTTGTATACCTAACTAACTATAGACAAAAAAAATACGTTGAAACTCAGGAGGTTTCGTGAAAACACGTGAAACATGCTACATGGAAAAATATACATAATTGGACTAACTGAAATAATGGTTAATATAGAGACCCAATAAATGTATAGTTGGAATAAGTAAATAAATGTTTGCTTTAAATAAAAGTTTAGTTGGCCGAAATATTTGTTTAGTTATTCCAACAATAAATGTATTGTAATCTGTGTCCTTATTTTTTCAAACATTTATATTTTTTGTTTAGAATTATCTAATTACACATAAGTAATTGATTTTATGTACAAATTAAAAAAATTAAACAATCAAAAAGTTGTTCGAGAAATAGTAGAGATTTATATACTTTTTTTCAATATTTAAATCTAAAGTATTTCATTTTTTAAATTTAAGCTTTATAATGTATCACTTCTTAAGTTAGAGTTAAAAGATATTGTTTTGATCTTATCAACTGGTAGGCTAAATAAAGTTAGGTATAAAATTATCTAAATACATTAAACAAATATGTTTTTATAAGATACCTACTACAATGATTGAATACATTTATTAATAGCCTTTTTTTCCATGGATGTAAATATGTAAAAATAATTGTGGCTTGTTTTTGTAATAATATCGTTTTTATATGTTTGTGATTAACATTCTAACGTTATACGTTTTACTCGTAACTGATATTTATGTAAAAAAAAATAAGCATCAATTGTTTATCGCTTTTTATTAATTTAGTGGAGTCGTGCTGAGTCTGGGCAAGATCATAACAGCGGTGTATCAATGTCGGACAAAGTAGCCAGTTTTGTGAGCAACATTAAGACAGGTGCTTCAGAGGCATACCACAGCATGCAAAACAATATGAAGCCTGTTCAAGAGATAGATGCTAAGAAAAAAATGGAACAATCTCTATCGAGTGCCCAAAGCTTCTTTTCGGATACTTTTTCTAAATTCAAGAGCGTCTTTAGTTCTAAGCCGCGTCAACAATCAAATGCGAGAAACGAAGAATTGGAACAAGCTATAAAAGCATTTGATGACTATGCCCAAAACACCAACCCTAAACACTAAATTTAAATTTAAAAAAATGTTATGCTTAATTATTATCCACATTTTTATACTACAATTTTGATATATATTTTACATTAACAGTTTTGTTCTAATAGAAATAATAAGGTTTTTAAACTATAAAATAAATTTTTAATATTATTGATGTATAAATTAGAATTTCAATATTTTTAAGGATATTAAAATAGTATAGAATAGTAAAATATAAAATAAATTGTACATATTTATGCACTTCGAACATAGTATACACTATACATTCTTATTTATAAAAACATTGTAAACTATACCTTGTTTTTACATATTTTTAATATATTGATGTAAACTAACTATATCCTAAATCCATAAAGTTTGTTATAACTTATAAATTATATTTTGTTATTAGTAATGAATTTTATACTTTCAACAAGTGAAGTTAAACTTTATGATAATTATCTCATCTTAAAAATTTTAGATTTAGAGTAATTACTCTATTGGTTATTATCAAAATTAAATCAAGTGTTTCCAAATAAAAATTGTATACGTATAGGCTCTTACTTAAAACTAAAAAGGTTTGCACAATAGTGGTACAAAGGTATCAGTTTTTTTTATAAATTAATATTTATCTATATTTAAGGTCAAAGATGCATGCGTGATTGACGTACCAAATGCGTGATAAAAAAACAATAATGGAAAAAAACTATATTAATAAAAACAAGAAATATTTTTATTGAAAGCTTGTTAGTCATTAATACGATTATTTACTACTAAACACACAAACTTAATGCCCAAACAATTTTCCTTCGTCTTAAACAGTTCAGTAATTACACAAGTTTTATTTTATCTGAAGATAGTAAATTTGTACTAGCTGAATTAACGACATTTAAATATTATAATTTATTATTTTTAGCGAATTATTCAAATTAAAACAACAACACAAAGATAATGATATAAATAAATGTCAAACGACTTTTGTATTAGTTAATATCATATCCCCCCCCCTTATATTTTGCGTTAATTCACAAATAGATTTCTGATACCATAACTTTTAAGTTTGAACCTAAGCCTTGGTCCTACAAGGACCATTAAGTTTTTCGCTGTATGAATACTTTTTTAATTTAGGAAAATATTAGTGTAACAACTAGGTTATAATGTCTCATTCGACAGTCAAATAGGTATAAGACAAAAATAAACCACAACTTGGTCGTTTAGAATAGTCACATACCTACTTAAAGTATTACGAAATTTAGATGGAAAACTGTACAAAATAACTATTACTTATATTTTACTACTTATTTAAGTGATGGACGAAGACATTCATTTCACTAAAACATTATTTTTTATTTATGTATAGTCGATCAAAGCTGATGTTGTGTTGGATGGTTCAATTACCACCGAAGAACCGTCGAAATCATTCAAGGAGAAATTTAGCGGCTTCGTGAATTCCGTCAAAGAAGGTGCCTCAGATGCGTATGATTCAGTATCAGACAGCGTATCTGGAGTAGCTAAAAAGGTCAACGAAAAGAGTAAAGAAGCTGTAAACAAAACTAAAAACATAGTGAACGGTGCCATCGACAAGATCAAAACCACTTACAATAATTACAAAAACGATAATTCATCTGAAGAAATCACTGGCGTGCAAGCCACCGTAGAAGAGGGTAAAGGCATTTTTCAGGAAGTTCCTGGCGTACAAAAACCAGAAAAGTTCACGAACAAAAAAAAATGAGTCAACTATAAAAAATATTCACATTATACTAAAATATTACTGTATGCTACACTGCTATATTTATAAGAAATAATTATGCGTTATTCATGTTTAATCATATCCTCATTCACCAGTCGTATTAAATCATTTATGTTTAGTTTAAATTTTAAACCACAAATTGTATGAGCCTTTATCATTCGTATTATATTTATGAAATTTTATTTCTATTGTATTTCAGAGAATCTCACTCTTATCTCTTCTCTCAGAGAATTAATCACTGTTATTTATAAAATGTATTAATATGAAGTAAACACGGCACCTAAATACTAACAGCATAAACAAATTATATCGAATTTGTGATAAACACTTTATATTGTCTCATTAAACATTACTTTTCCTTATTCTGTTTTTTATTTTGTAAAGGACTGCTTGTTAGAAACTCTATATGAAATTCATAAATTACGTTAAAAGTACTGCAGCTTGTGTTTAAATGTATTTGTATACAAATTTTTCAATAATGAAAAGCTTAAGTGAAAACATATATAAACTATACATTTTACACATAAATTATAAATACGTTAACAAAAAAAAAAAAATTGTATAAAAAAAATAGGTTATGTATTACTATGCAATAAGTAATAATCTAAATACATCCACAACTGTATATTGTTACATATCAAAGCTACAGGTCTAAAGAAAAAACCTAAATCAATGACAATAGAAAAGATTAATTTCAAACTAAACTTCAATAATTACATCGTTAGTATTGTTTGTTTTTAATATAGTGATTAGCCTTTTTAATCAAATGATTTAACGCCGAGATGACAAGACTATATTTTTCATTTTTATTGTGAAATGGTAAGTCAACTGTCAGTACCAACGTACATGGATATACGCAATCACGGGATTCTAGGGAAGGGGGCTCTTACCCAAAATGAATAAAAGCCCTGCCGATAATATTTTAGGGAAAAAACATGTATTGTATAAATTTCCAAATTAAGTAACTCACTTAAAAAATCTAGGGTTATTCATATAAGACACTCATTTTCTCAAAAAATAATTGCAATTTTATAGGTTTTTATTTTGGAGATACTTTTAGTTTATGTTATTCTACAATATAAGAAAATATTTTTTTTTTAATTTTATTCCAGAGCGCTATCGACATTTGAACCTTAATGGGAACGTATATATTTAATTGACTTTTTAAATTAAGAATAATTTGCTGAAAATGTCGACTGGTTAATTAAATAAATATGTACATTACCGTTTAAGTTTCAAAAGTTGATAGGATCTGGAAAGTACTAAAATATTTACATAATTAGTAATTTTCTAATATTGTAAAATAATAAAAGCAAAACTTTTTTAAAAAGAAAAACTATAAAATTGTAATTATTTTAGGAGTAAATGAGTGTCTTATCCTTAATTTTATTGAAGTGTACGTCACATTTGACCGGGAGTAGGGCCTATTTGTGCCTAGTTCGGTCGCCAAGTGGCAAATGACATTTCTACCATGCTTAGGGCGGGAGAGAGGGTGCAAACTCTTCACCTGGACAGGTTGTCAAGTGAGAAAGACCGGCCGTGACCGAATTCAAACAGGCGACAGTGCGCGCCGACTCCGCCGCCATAATATATTCGGCCACTCCATCTCCACAATCATTAATCAATATCCTTAATGAATAACCCTGTATACTATTTTTAGTATTAAATTGTTAGTTTAATATTTGTATAATGAGAGACGGTAGACCAAAATATTATGATTAGCCATAGTTGTAAATTTATAAATTAGTGGTGGCTTTATAATAAAACAACAAAAATAATTTATAGATTTGCATAAAGTACTGGACATTTTGATGGAAATATTCCTGAAAATTCAAACGTTGTGAATTTTTTATATCGTTGATGTTTTTTTTTTTTTAATTATTTAAAATCCCTTTATTCAATTTTTTTCAAAGCTCTCCCAGAAATATCTCCACAAACATAATCAGAACATTAAAAAAGCCAGGACAGTGGGGTCGGGGCACAGTGAGACGGGGAGGTCACAGGTCTACAGGAATTATTATAATTGAAACTGATAAAATCACTTTTAAATAAACGCTTCAATGTGAATTTGTAGATAGTAAGTCCAAACCATTACAGTCCAAAACAAGTACAATATAAACCAGCACAGTAAAAAAGTATTGTACGTAAGTAGAAGTATTAAGTAAGGAAGGTCCAGTGTTCACAGATAAAAATAAAAATATCGGTAAAAGCATTGTACCTAATGACAATTACATATGTGCTTAAATTTTTAGTATTAGGGTGCATACGATTAGGGTTGATCGTTTTGTCTATAAAAATGTATTGTCTTAGTTACCCATATATCGTAATAAACAATATAGTGAAAATATTTTCAATACCAGTTATTGACTGTTGTATTCACTCACACATAGCAACCTGGAAATTGACTGCTCGAATATTTTAAAAAAAGTTATAGAGCATCGTAATTTTAAGTTGAAAAATGTGTAATTTTTTCGGTGTTTTTTCGATTTTCAAGGGGAAGGGATGAATTTTTTAATTTTTGGTCCAATGAAATACCTTTTAGGTACGATTTTTGTAGAATTGCTATATGAAGAAATCGGTTAGTGGTTTTAACAATATCGTGGTTCAGGACACAAAAAATAAAAACACATCATTGTAAAAACCATACCTTTTCAGCTCCGCATCGAAGCTAAACATATTTTAAAAATATTATGGATAGTCGACCGATTTATCAAGATGGTTTGTTTTACTTTTGATTTTTCTTTAAGAGTTTTACAATAACAGATGTTTTAAATTTATTTGTAAAGTAACATTATGTAATATTATGATGGTTATAATTCGAGTGAAAGAAAAATGTCTTATAATATGTCCCACTGTGCGTTTTATGGCAGCCAGATAGACTAAACTGAAGCCCTTAAAAGTTTGTAATGTAATTTGCGACTACGATTATTATACGGTCTTCCAAAAAAAATCATTATATTAAGGCATTTTGTATACAATAATATTTTACTACAATATTTTCTATAATTGTATACCATATAATCTGTAGATATATGCATTCGATAAAGTGTCAAAATATTTCTGTAAAAATGTATTAATTATAATTTCATGGAAATTGTCTATTTATTTATTTTAGTACTTATCCGGTTTTCCGGTGGCAACGGCGACAAGTCCAACGTGCGATTTGTACTATTCGATTACACCTCTATTCGATGGTATTCTCTTATCTATCGACTGATTTGATCCCGAGTACCAGGGTTCAAAATAATATGATGATGTAAGGTATAAGTACAGCCATCGGTATTACAATAATTATTGTTAGAGTAACATCGTACGTCGTTTAATTAACAGTTTGTTTCAGTGGATTTGGCACTTAAGTCCCTCGCGTATCTTCGAAAACATGAATTTGACCAGACCTGCAATGCAATTTATTACTTTGGCTATGTACGTACTCGTCGTTTCCCAAGTAAGTCTTACAAAATGTATTTAATTTCGCTGAATTTGTCCTATTTTAAATATAAACGTTAACTATGTCTTTTGAGTTTTGATGATCTAAAATACACATAAGTATTTCATTTAAAGCACAAAGCATTCGTTTATTAATTAGAACTTTATAACATATCAATCTGTCCTGAGTCGACTTCTAAATTTCCGCTAGTTGCGTAGCTGTTACATAGAATATTTTCTATTTGTCTAAATTAAAATACTTTGACAAAAAATCAAACTTGTATCTAATAAAACAGTTTCACCTTTGTGCTTTATAATTAAATGTTCATTTCAATGTCAGCGAATTTCTTTAGTGTTGATTCTGAGTAAAAGCTATCAGTTACCTACTACTAAACAAAGTTAAATGTGATTTATAAATAAAAAATACCATGATAAAATCATTTAGTATATTTTTATTTATTAAAAATGCTATGAAATTACGAATACTACACATAGCTTACAAAATGTTCATACAAATAGATAAACAATACTTGATTAAAGTTTAAAATTTAAAACATATTAAAAGTAATGATTTAGTGTATTATTTTATATAATACTAAATATCATTAAAACACACATGCATTTAATTAGGATTTTCTTGTAAAATTCAAAGTAGAGTTGTATATATATATATATATATATATATATATATTATATTATTTGAAATGATTATGAAGTCTGAAAAAAGTATTCAAAATGAAGAATTTGTAGCTTATAAAGTATAATCAATAATTATACATTTCCCCCGTCCAAATTAAATGAAATATATTTATCTAAAAAATAAACCGTGATTTTAAAACAAAAATCCGTGTATTTATGTATCAACTAGAACTGTAAGCTTTAATGTACAACAGATTTGACTAGACCCTAGCGAAATAGTGAGTTCATAATGATGTTTACGCATTCCATTCGTCGGTAACAAGCCAATTGTCGTTCGCTACTTGATGCATTTTTTCTTCCTCCCATCCACTTGATATTATAATATTGTGCTATTTGTTATTCATCATGTCATCACCATAACACCGGATTATTAATAATAAATTCATTCCAGTACAATATGCTGAAAATCTAACACATCCGGCCAAAATTAGTTAACAAAAGTCCACTGTATTATTATGACACGCCGCGACGCACTAACAGCTCATCTTTATTAAACTCTGTATGAATTGTAATTGAGGGATGTTCAATCTATAGTATCAGGATGTGTTTTGCTATTATTTTTGAAAAATTAATCATTTTCTACAAAATACAAATATGTTGTGTATTCAATTACAGAGAACTTCTGTCAATATTAAAATGTAATTTTAGTCAGATAATATTATTATCAAACAATTTAAGTTCTCCAGATTAGCAATTCTTCTATATTTGTTTTTTATGTGAGCTAATTTTGTAAAGGCTCTTTCTAGAACAACTCCTACTTGGGAGACTCAAATATATTTACATAATGCATAGCTATATGTAATTTTTTGGAAAGATATTGGCCCATGATTTTTCATTGATCCATTTCCAAAGATCAATTTACCAAGAACAACGTTATTGTCATTGGTTGAATAGCATTAAGATACAGCACTCACGAAATTGTGTCAATTCATTATTAAGTGAAAAATCTACATCGTTTTTATACAAAGATTTTGAATATTTTGTATGATATTTACATCATTATAAGAATAATTACTTTCACCTACAATTACAGGCAAACACAGGTTTGAGATGAACAAACAATTATTATAAATACATTTATATGCACTAATTCCCTTTTCTAACTCCGAACAAAATTAATCTATGACAACATTGTGTTTAGCTTGAAAATGTCAAAATCAGAAAATTTATTTTTTAAATTCTTCTTTTCTCATCGAGGTACTTACTATTAATTAATACTGATGCTAAGTTCAGGAATTTTACTTCCGTGATCTTTCAAAAATTTGTTGTTATTATTTATTTTTATTTTTGCAATAAACCACCCTTAGTCTGGACTGGTTTTAACACTTAATAAAATTATGATTTATAAATTCTTACAGAAAGAACTTAACGACATCATTATATTGTATTCCTAATTCCATTATATTGCTGAAATATCATTTGGCTGATTTTACATTAGCGCATTAAAATTAAATTTGTATGTAAGTATATGCAAAACTATGTGTATGTGTATTTATTTTAAGTTTTTTAAATCTATTTTGAAAATGCTAGTACAGTATTTTTTAAATTAGTGTTAGAGTTACTAGTTAAATTTATTTTTATTTAATGATAAGTCGTAAAACATTTATTTGCTCCTTCCTTTCAACAAATAATTACCGGTTTCTTACTGATGAGCATCTGGATTTCTAAAATCCGGATTTTTGGATTTTAATTTGTTATCCAAGTCAAACGATACATTTTTTGTTTTAAAAAAACATTACAAAGGTAAATCCATACAAAGCTCGCAACACTGGTTATTTTATTTAACTTTAATTTAAACAAACAATCAAATTTAAAAATCTGTATTCCGGAGAAGTGGATACTTTATAAATCCGGATTTGTACTATTTATTTGAGTCAGTGTAATAGTATTGCATTTATTGGTTTGTTTTTGCAATAACAAAAACGCTACAATATATAAATATAAAGTAACATTGATGGAGTTTAAAATGTATTATTTTCATTGAAATTTCTTCGTAAAACCAAGTGTTAGGTCCGCCACTAGGCACTTTAACACCGAGAGTAAATTATGATTTGTTTTATGAATGTGTGATGCGTTAGTGGTTGCTGTGGCAATATTTTTCAAGGTCATTTGGAGATATCATCAGCAATGCGAAAATATTACAATAACCGGAAACGAAATACTACATACCTATAATATGTTGGCGATTACATAACTCGTTTTGTATAAATTTATATTTTTAAACAATTAAACGGTTTTCATTTTGATGATTGGTTTCGCATATCGATAGTTCCAATGGCAAAAGGGTATAAGCGACATGTCATATATCGATATAATATGTGCTACTCGAAGGAAAACAATTGTGCATCATCCAATGCGTGTGTGCCAAAACAGCTGTGACCATTATTTAACAAACAATTTCAATTTTATGTTTGCAGTAAAAACTACACTTTATATATATTTTTTAAATAGGGGCTAAACGACAATATTAGGATTTATTAATTAATTTAATATACAACAATGGCTTAGCGCACAATATGGACATTTTTTAGAAGAGTAAATTAAATTGTTTACTTTTAATAAGATTGTACTTCAAAGTTTTCATTGTAAATGTAAATATCACAACAAATATAAATTTGAGATTTACAGAACTTTTATAAAAAAAAATTAAAAGCATTCAATTTTCTATTTATTGGTATCAAAAAGTGTATTTTGGAATAAGTGGACTTAAAACAAGTTTGCACTAAGCCATCCATAATGTATACAGTATTAACCATGTTATTACAACTTAGAAACAAATTTTAATAAAAATCACTTAAAAACGGTTTTTAGATCTTCCGAAAACTACGAAAAATGTCGCTTAGTCCTTTGAATAAGTGTCAAATTGTTGCACAATTATAATTATTGTAAGTATTTTATAGATTTTCTAAACATTGTAAATTATGGACGATTAAATTGTATGGAAGTTTGTCATTCACTGATTCACAGATAAGTATTACAGTTAAAAGTATGATTTTATAATAATCATCGGCTATGTAATGGCTAATGCCTAATAGGTGGGGTTTTTGAAATAGATGCTAAAAATTGAAAAATACGTTATAGTAGCGTCAGCAAAACAGAAAACTTGAAGTGTGACCACCGCGCACTTGGCGGCCGCTTTTTGTCAGGGTTACTACGATTACTTTCCCGCGTAAAATAATTTCAAAGTCGCGTAAATCGTTATAAAGACTAATAATTTTACAATAATTCATAATACTATCATTTAATATTATATTATATTATAATATTTAAAACTCATAATTTTCAAAAAAAAAGGCCACTAGGCGCGCGCCGGTCACACTTCTAGTTTTGCTAGCCCTGTCATAGTAATTGTATAACGGAATGCCATAGCCCATAAGGTATATCCGATAATTTAGTATGTTGTTATTGTATTCTGTATAGTAAACATTATAGTAGTACCCGGTGGAGTTACAGACTTGAAATACCCCCCTTTCCAGATTATTTACCAGTTCTAAATTCTTTGTATTTTATAATTTTAATATGGCTCCTCTAATGTAAATAGTATGAATATTAAAACCACTTGCTTTTTTATTGCCAAATGATGACTTTCGCTGCTTAACTATAAAACATACAAGTTAAGAGGCAAATTGCAATGTATGTGGTGAAGTACCGCAGCGCTATAAATACATTAAACTCGCGACATCGTACTAGCTAGCTGTGTGCGCTGTTAAAATGAATACTGGGAAAGATACTTATCACAATGATATGCGTCGGTCATGTTTTTATTTCAAATCAGTATATTATTATACCTATACAATGTGGTTTTAATTGTTTATTGTTTATATATATATATAATTTATTATGAATATAGTAAACGAAAAGAATAAATATGACCTCCATGTACTTGTTACATTAGAGTGTCCCTTCTGATTTTATCTATTTCGTGGTACTAGTGTTACTGAGTCCGATTCCCGCACACAAAAACACGTTTTTAAAAACGGTTTGTTTTAGTTTGAAGTAGCCCGTTAATGACCTTCGCCACCACCTCCAAGGAAAAGGTTTTGTAATAAATTCATCAGCTGGGGCGAAAGAGCAGAATGATATAATTTCAAAAATAACCAGTTTTTAATTCTTTTTTTTAAGTCATTCGTTTTTTTTTAAATATAAGCGCTGGAGGAGAGGTGGACTGTAATGTTAACTTGACAGTTTTATATAATACAGATATTTTATGATACTTTTTTAACTAAAACTATTTAATAGAAAAATTATTGCTGTAACATACAATTTTAATAACTCCATCAACAAAAATATAAAAAACAAATCAAATTGCTGATGTCGGAGTAAAAAACTATGAATTTTTAATGTTTAGAAATGAAATGATTGTCCCACTACAATTGTTCTTTATTGTGCACCTATGGTGATCTGACATCCTGTGTGATTTTTATTATTACAGAACGTACTAGGCGATGAAGTCACGCGAGCAAATGATACCACTGAACAGTCGTTCACAGACAAACTGACCGGGTTAGTGGCCAGTGTCAAGCAGCAAGCGTCAGAGACATTGGACAATCTTCAGGCAGGCACGGTTTTAAACAAATTGCCAGCCCAAGTAACCGACGGCTTGCGAAATACAGAGAATAAGCTAATAGGAGATGACGCTCTAAATCGTTTGGAATCCTCAAAGCGGGAGACCGTGGCCAAGGCCAAAAAGATGATGGACGAAGCTTTATTGAAACTGAAATCTACGGTTGAACAACTGAAAATCAAACATTCCGACGGCGATGATGTAACAAACACGTTGGACACGCTTCTAGAGAAGATTGAAATCGACGGAAAAGCGGCTTTCGATTATACATCTAATGTGCTCAACGAGACGGCACAAAAGGCTAAGGCTGCAGTAGAAAAAGCACAGAAGTCGAGCGTCTAAATTTGAACTACAGTACATCAAAACAATGCACAATAATTAGACGTTGCAAATATGAAATAACATTTTGTTATTACACTTGTCTGTATTTTATTAATAACTGTTAATTAGTTGTACAATTATAAAATATACATGTTTAACTTTTAAGTTGTTTTGATAATACTATTTTTTTTTATTAATAAATTTTAGTTTATAAGATTGAAACTAAGAGTATATAAATTTGTGTTTTGTTTAACCACATCTAAATTGTAATTGATTGATCGCTTATTAACAAGGGTACACGTGTAATGTTAAATTTTTAGAGGAGCTCTAAGTTATTCTGAATGAGTTTTTTTCATTTGTATCCCTAACCTTTCATATCCAAAATAAATAAATGTATATCTACAGAAATAATTTGTATGGGTTATCTATTTTATTTTATTATTCTTCTACTATATATTTGCTAGTTGGAACAATATGTTTTAAAAAAACTAGATTCATAAATAAATAAGGTTACACGACAAGTATTCACAAGTGAATATATATATATGATCAATGCGGCTGTATTTTATAATCCAATAAGCATTATAAACAACAAAGAAAATATAATCTGTGCACGTGCAAATAAATTTAACATTTAATTTAAAGGGGAAAAATGTAAATTGAAACATAGCTTATGTTCATAATTTATAAAAATTATACCTACCTACGAGATTTAAAAGGTAATATTTTCAAAACACTACAATTGTCGTCATTAATTATAACTTGTAACTATTAGCGATAAATGCCGATGGAATAAATTATTTGCTCAACTGCTAGGTTACAAAACATAATAATTATATTATAAAAGTATATACCTAAGTTAAATAGATTTGATTACTGTTTATATTTGGTAGTCAAATTGTAACCGCGCTCGTTTTGTATATCAGTTGGCACAAATTCGATTAATATAAATCTCTTTTATTATAAATCACCATTGGTTAAAATAATGTTTTTAATTTATTACAGCATTTAAAATATACTTGTACATTTGAAGGAACTATTCGAAGTTATTAGACTAGATTAAGACTAGTTATAACTGACGTAGCTAGCAAGCCAAAAATATGATATAAAATGATGATTTTGACGACACATTTGTATAAAGTACTTATTAAATTGCTGAGTTAATACATTTTAGTCATCTAGCTTTTAAAGAATGAGGTATCTGACGACTAACTGTCTCACTAACAAAATGTTATGACGTTTAAGTGAAAATAATCATATTAGGGGCCGATTTGGAAATAACAATCACTCGTGTATATTAATATTAAATAATGAACATGACGTACAAATAAATATATTATGTTACACTTGTTATTAATATATTTTGACACTAAGTAGCCTAATAAACAATAAATATTTCTGTATTATACTACTATGAATTTAACATTAAGGTCGAAGATAATTAATTAGATAGTTTATTGTTTTGCTGTTCCAGCATGTTGAGGGCCAACAACTACAGACTTTCCACGATATCAAGCAGCATCTAGAGGATTTAATGCAGAGAAAAACTGTTGCTACAGCATTCGATAGTCATCCGGATGTCAAGGCCACGATCACGAGTACAATCGAACAGTGGGAGGCGGAAGCTATGGCGGCCATCGAGCAGGGCACAGACGCTATAATGGACTCGTTCCGGATTACCAGGGAGGCCATACAAAAGTCCACGGAAAGCGTCAAATCGGATATCAATCAGGACAAGAAAACTAAAAAATCTTAAATATACCAGAAACGGCTTGGCTTATTTGCAGTTCGCTCAGACTATCGATGTAATGTTTTCTTTTTTTTATATTTATAGTGCTCCATAATAATAATTGTAAATAATTTAGTATATAAACCAAAATATACAGTACAGACATCTAACAAAAGAACTTATACAATTTAATATCCTAAATTTTGATGCACAGTGAATGTATTATGTACATTTTTTATTGACACCTCCGAAATAATACCCACCCGTCGTTAAATAGCCTATTAAATTATAGTAAATTGAATTTATGCCATCTTTCGCATATAAAAGACCGTCTTGACGCTTCTAAAATCGTATTATTATGCTGTTCCATCCTAATAGCATGTGACGTAACTGGCTAGTATTGAAGTAAATAACTCTAAATTTTTATACACAGTATTGCATCAGCGATCAGCAATAATGCTTACAATTTTATGACAGGCGACAGCAAGCACAATGATGAAAATATGAAAAAAAAAATGTTGAATAATCTAAAACCGTCATTATATCCAGGAAAAGGGTATAGAGTTAGACATCAGGCATTATGTATACACGACAAATGTTTACAAAGTATTTTCTATGAAAAAAAGCAATCTAAAAATCGTTTTTAAAAAAACCCGTCAGAGAGGGAGGTCTGGATATATATGACGTGCAGAAGATAATGCATTAAATGTACACCAAAAACAAGTTCCAATGCAATAATATAATAATGTTTTTTTTTTTTTTGCTGTACACAGAGTCGATACCAAATTCTCTAAAAACAACTCACGCGATACCAGAGAGATGTCATTGGTATTTCAAATTGATACAAAATAATTGCAGATTTGATCTGCATTAATCTTGTGTTGGACACGTGATCATACATATTATGTATTCCAAACTACAATATAGTTCCTGAACTTTGATTAACCCCAGATTAATATTATTATACAATATTATTCACTTTCCTCTCCAGTGTCAGCCAACGGTTGGCAATTTCGTCATTTCCATTATTCATCGCCCGAAATATGTTTTAATACTTTATCATAACATTATACAGACTACCATAGCATTGTGTTCTACGGATATAATTTTACTGTTTATAGTCTAAGTACAATAAACATACAATACAATGCTATTTATTATAATGGAAACTATTTTTTTTATTTAAACGATAGAATTAAATTTAAAAAGTCAACCCGTTTTATAGTATGTAAAAATAAATAAGAAATAAAAATAGGGCGATGAGGTGCTTCTTTTTTGCATACAGGGTGATCAGCTTAATATATATTATAAAACACACGTTTTTTCTAAAAAAATAATTGCTGTCTTATAGTTCTAGTCTCTACTTCCACAATAACAATTTAATTTATTCATTTCAATACTGAATTATTCTCGGAGGTTTAAACGTATTGACGGGAGTTGTTCAGCGTAATGCGGTATTCACGGATACAGCCGCACACAAAAAAGTAAAATACAGAAAAAGATTCCTACCCTTCTTGTGGGTAGACAGTACTATAGTAGATAGTAGATACCTTATACCTTTGTGTTATTTTTATATAAACACTTTTCTACCAACTTATTATTATGGTGATTTATATTTTATAGTGAATAATACGATATGTGTATAATATAATACAATACATAATGTATAATAATGTGTGTATAATATAATATTTAAGTACCACATTTTGTATAATTTTTTCATATTCTGGCTTTTCAACTATGTAAAATTTTGAGTTGCTACCTCGCTTCTCTTTAATTTCTCCTTCCAACCCTAAAATAATATGTTAAGAGGACGTTATACCTACAGTACACGCCCAATTTTCTAGCGTTAAGACATATACCTACTCTGAATGCGTTTTACTCGCTCCATGATAATTATAGAGCAAAAATACTTCAAACAAAATCAAAAGATGACAATATTTCGGAGACGAACTCAATTTTTTTTTATATTTAGCTTAATATTTAATCTATAAAAACACATTTTTTAATTTTTTATAAATAACTAACTCTTTTTTAAATAATGATTTTTAAAATCAGATATGATATTGTCTCCGAAATGTTGTTATCTTTCTATTTTATAATAGAACGTTTTTTATCTAAAACCACTACGGACTGAATAAAACACATTCTGGATAGCTATATTTAGATTATTTTTTTTTTAAATCGCTGTCAAGGATACTATGATAATCCAAAAAATAAATGAACTGCCAAAAAAAAGTTTTAATTACTGAACTAATAATTACACGTCACAGCTTAACCTTTAAGTTAAGAATTAGTAAACAATTGCCCATATCGAACTCCTTAACAAAGGGGGGTATGACGTCATCTATTGACGGCCGATCTATAACAATTAACAAGTAACCAGTTTGTATCATTTGTAGTAATTTTTAAAAGTATTTATTATAAAAATGGAACTTTTAAATATACTTCCACAAGTTACTTTTATTTAATAAAATTGATTCTCGATCAATAGACAATCATAAATTATTATACTAACTTTAGAATTAAAACAAACAAACGCGTGGTGAAACGTCTTCAGATTTTAATCTTTATATTTTAAATTTAAATGCATAAAATCTTTATAGGAATATAATACTATTCCAAATAACATGGAAATTTGTATGACACGCTTTAATATTGCATGCAAATGAAATAGAAAATATATTTTGAATAACAGACACACATTTATACATCTAATACATATTATATTGTTTTATTAGTCATGTAACAAAAAAGTAATTTAACAGGTACCAGCGGGATGAATAATATTTATCACAAACTAAGTTAAGGAATTTAAGATTTATATCTAGTAAATATAAATAGAATAGTTTCAAATTTTAAGATAACTTACATAAAATTTAAAAAAAATAACAAACGACTATGAATGTATGCAAAGCAATTATTATAGTAGCACATGTTAGTTCACGATACAAAAACACATGTTATATGATTTCATACACTGATACTCGCACATAGTTTAATTATGTTGGTCTGAGACGCCGATGAACTAACATTGTAACAAAGTAATTGCTTTTCTACACACGAATGCAATAAATGTAGTGTAATGTTCTTGTTATTGATGTTACACAGTACACTGTACAATGTTGTTGTGCAATAATGGTCGGCATATAGGGGTTAGAGCGAAAAAAAACTAGTTGTTAAACTCTTTGGAACCCAGTCAGTTAGGGATAAAACGTACGAGGGTCGAGGGTAAACATTTTTATCTTTGCTTTCGAAATATCACCACTTGACTTATCCCCGGCGCTATTACGATAATAGTGAACACATCATAGAAACATAAAGCAACCTCATTACTTTATGATCTAACGGAATCCTCGTAAGGTTCACATACATATCGAGTGTCCTCGCAAAAGACAGATATAGAACACTGAACAATGTTGCTAAAATACACTTTGTATTAGTAAAAAAAACAATGTTTTTTTTTTTTTTTAATATCATTACGTCGTAAAAAAAAAGGAGATGATAATATATTAACTGTTTTAAATGTAGCTTTATTAAAAAATAATAATTAGTTGTAAATACTTTGTTTTAGAATGTATTCATGTTTGATTTAGTAATTTGTTATACTACGTTACTACCAATAATAATCGTCTCATAATTGAATTATCAGATTTAGAATTGTTCAACGCGTGGCCTCTCGTAAACCGTCTTCCGAAAATAAGTTATCAAACTGATTGGAGTCGGGTGTAGACAACACACTGTGGGGATTTTGGTGGGGTAGACTGGTCGTTGAATAGGCAACGTGAAGAAGCGGCCGTACACCACCCAAGTTCGACGGGAGAGCACAACTGAAATAAGTGTCTTAGCGGTCACTGGTCATTCCGAAGAACGAGTAGGCATCGGTCACCTCTTTAGCATCGTTGTCGATGTCATCTTCTAGGTCGCGCGGGTAGAGTACCACAGACTGTATTGAGCCAAAAATACAAAAATTGACCAAAAAGCATTTTACCTTGGATACAAATTAATAAGACTGTAAAACCATATATTATAGAAATGTTCTTTGATCACAGCACCCGTTATAATACGCATATCAGTTTTTTATCAAAAAAGTTTGTTGATAACTTAAAAACAATTACAAACGAATGCATTAAACTATGAAAGGCTGAACGGGCCTGAACTTTTCAAATATTTGACCCAATAAGTACCTTACAGAAATAATAATAATAAACAAAATGTTGTTGTACTATTATTAGAGTATAGAAAATTGTATATAATATTAATACTTCAAATATAAGAACAATTTTTAAATACTTTCATAATACTAAAACAAAAATTTCAATGATGTAAACAATATTTTTGAAACATTTAAACTTTCATAACCATAACACGGGTTTTTAATATTTTAAAAATATTAACTAACTTTTTGACAATAACAACTGGGTAATTACTTCGTTTTCCCATTTTCTTGAAATTGTATTATTACGATTCATGAACTAATTACGACATAAATGAACGTTTTAATGATTTGTTTAACGACTACCCCTACCTATTTATTTTAAATGTCAAAATTATCATAACATTTGTCAGCAACAGCATGAAATCGTAATACCTATGGGCTATAACTAAAGTGTTACGTGGGCCATCTGTTCGTCAAGAGAAAAAAATATATCGATCGAAAACTCTGTTTATGTCATACTTAGTTAAATTTTAATTGTAAGCCGTTTTGATCCTGCATATGCGAGCGTGAATACATAGTACAGACTAAGTAACATGGAGGGGGGGGGGTCCGTATTTTCATATAATTTGTAAGCACTAGGTATTCACTGTGCATAAACGATCAGTGTTATTCTTATTTTATAGTCAGCTACGGTCCATTTTTTTTTGTGTCGCCAAAACAAAATTGTATTGTATAATATTTTCTAATATGAAAGTTTTAAAAATTCTGTATACCTACCTAATATTCAATTGTTATAAACATTTTAAACAAAGCTAATAGAGTTTTTTTTTTTTTACTTTATTGATGAATTTTCTACTAAAATCAATTTTAAATATACTCCCAAAAACGGTATACAAAATGTACGCAATTTAAGCAGCGGTAAGTGGTAACCGACACTCACTAGAAATCCACAACACGCCGTTGTGTTAAAAATGAGTACTTATCTGTATTGGGTAAATATGACGATGACTCCGTGACGGTAATATAATTGATAGCCCGGCAAACTGTCCAAACAGAATTTATATCAGAAACGCGTTTGACGTTTTATTGGAAGAGTAGTAGGGGGATATAATATAACAAGTAGTGCAGTCTGTGCTGCTCAGCAGTAGAATCGCATTGCAAGCGGAATACGCAATGTTAAACACGTGACCAACGGGTGTTTTAATTAATTAAAAAAAATATATATATATCACACGGTCTTAAAACGATCAAGACGGCCACAGGTCGATCGCCAATATGTCTTGCACGCTCCCCCCTCATACCATTATTACCACGAACAACCCTGTATATTTTACAATAGCGGACACGACCGCCGCGGCGATCAATGTTTTTTTTAACAATATGTCGTATTGTCGGCAGATGTAACTTTCATTCATGACAGTCGAACGGTCGTACACTTGATGTACCATGTGTCGGTTTACTCCTACCACACGACGCCGACACGGACGATGCGCGCCACGGGATATCACAACACGTCGCTCGACAAAATGTCGATTTTTTTTTTTTTTTTTCGCCGGTTATTCAAATGGCCGATTTTGCCATTTGAATAACACAACGTCGGGCACCCGTCGAGAGGGGAAGGCGAAGTGGAGGAGGAGGCGGCACGCCGTTCGTCTTGCATTTATAGAACCGATCCGGCGGCCATAACGCCCCGAGCGCGCACAAACGCGCGATTACAACTCACGATGACATTGATGCAAGGTCACCTTCTTGCTAGGTCGTCATACATTAGTACACACCTATAAACACACACACACACATACACACACACACACACACACATACACACACACACACACACATACACAAACACACACACACACACACACACACGCCGAACGGCTACATCGACGTTTTACACGATTGTTTGTCCGACAAAACACACGAGCCAACGTTTTTTTGTACAACTCTTTTACCTCTCCGTTTCCTCGTTAGCCAATTATAACCGCCTACCGTACGTGTTATGACTTGAGCAAGTCGACAAAAGTCTCATAACGCGTAGTACGGTATTGTGTTGTACGTTTTTATGATAGAAAGTACATCGATCACAGACTATTAGCTCGCGAGAGCCGTTAACACACCGGCACGGAACGCTGAAAATCAAAAATATCAACAAAAAAAAAAAAAACGCTAATTAAATTATTCATTTTATTTCATTTCATTCCCTTTTCAAAAAAAGTTGTATTTTAACAAAACCGGGTTGCTTTCGTTTTTCAATTAATAACATATTATACAAAAAAAAAAAAAATAATAATAATAATAATAATATAATAATATAATAAAGAGAACCTACTTTGAATTATATAAACATAACATTTAGTTATACACATATGTATGTATGTATGTTAAAACATGTATATGTATTGTATAGACATACAAACGTATATATTTATAATTACATATGCTCAGTAATAGGCAGGTATATACAAAACATGACTCGGTTTACTTAAAAAGTGCTTAATAAAGCTTGGCACAATTAAAAACTACCTAATAGAAGTTACTTAAAAAAAACTTAACATTTTAATAAAAAGAAAAATAATAAAACGAAATAACTAAATGTTTCGCTTTACACCTGAGTAAAACAACTCTTAGAAACTACAGAAAAAATATCTATACATCAACGATAAAATATACAAGAACATTTAAACTGCAAATTATTCTTAATTTTATTAATTAATATTATGAGAAAACTTCATGAACACAATGGTTGTTTACACTACATATTTTGTTAAATAACTATTTATCTAGTAGTCTAATGTGAACTTTATTTAAATTGCACAGGAGTCAGGATAAAAAAAATATATAGAGTAAAAAATATAGAAATCTTTTTTACGAGTTAGTTGTTTAAGGAAGACTCGATGTTTTTTTAATTAAATAAATACATTTTTGAATTACTTTACTATTCATGGAAATTAATAGAAAACAAATTAAATGTGTGTATATGTAGGTATAGTTATGAGTTATAATCGGTCATATATCAGGTACTTATTACAATTGTGTGGTAACTAACTAATTATACATCTTTAGTTTACACTTAGAACGTTTTTAAACCTTTATATTACACATGATACAATATAATCTATGAAACACATATGTGTGATTTATTTTCATACGTACAAACATAATATGTACTATCATCATTAAAATACGACATGGATTCTACTAATGTTCACATAAATATCTAAGCGACTATAATAATTTGATTGAAACAATATTATAAACAAATTCAAGCATACTAAAAGTTGTAGGGCGTCTGATTAACTACATAACTATAAAATATGTAATTTAAAGTAAAGGTTAGAGTATTGCAGAGTTAAGGCACTTTCTATTTTGTACTGAGTTCATCTAGCCCAAGAGAAAGGGATATTGTTCGTTTTTTAAATAAATTTATAAATATTTCTTTATTTACATAATAATACTTATACTGTAATCTTAAAATGTATATAATTATACATTATCATAATCGTATTAGGAAATGTTTTAAAACGTTGATTAATCTTACCGTTCGCGCCCTGTCTTTGGTGTATTAATATAATTGTTGTACGCAAATTAAATACAAAATAATTTAATGTAATGGGCATAATAAGAATGACTATTTTGCGAAAAGATGTAATTTTGAAGTCTACAACTATAATTGTTTTTTTAATTAAAAATATTATCGGAGCTATAATACAATTTTTAAATGGCAGAATTAACATTTTTAGAACACTCAGTTAAAAATAAAATGGTTTCATGTAGAAGTCACAACATTCTCAAAATAAACTTTCTTTATCAATCTATATCAAATAATCTTTTCTCACAATAACAACAAGTAATAAAGAACAACAACTGAATATTCACATCGAGTCCAGACTCTAGAATGTTTTATCAAATATTCTCGCTTTGTTTTAATATACTTAAATAGAAATTGGCACAGCAACTTTAAATATAAATAATTTAATTGTATAACAAAAAATCCAAATAAATAAATAAAAATGGTCCTAAACTAAAAATTCATAACAAAAAAATAAAAATAGAAAGAAATTCATCAAAAATTAAGAAAATCAGATTAACAATTTAAATTAAGATTATATACACGAGACAAAGGATTTAACAAAATATGTTACATACAATAATAATATATAATCGTACTGAACAATAAATATTATAAAAAGCTTGTATAATTTATACATATTTTTTCTTAAAGGAGATCAAGTGTCGGTGGTAGCATTATTTAAATAAATAATAATAATAAACTGGGTGTGTTAACGCTAAATATTTGTATCAGTCGACAGATTCAGATTTGATCAAAACTGAATTGGACTGTGGCATACAAGGAGGAGGCGTTTTTATCTGACAGGGTGGAGAAGTTATCACGGACACAGGACTAAACCTTTTATTCGATAATGGTAAACCTTTTGAGCTGGGTTCCTCTTCCTCCCATTTGATCACTGCGTCATCAGCACTGACCGGGTCTTCTTTGTTCATAAGCCTTTTCTGAAACGGTAATATTTTATTGAGTATAAAATAAACATTGGCACGTGCTTTATTATAGATCAATCCACTAAACATAACTATACTATCCAGTTTACACATACCATTTTTAACTGATCCTTGAGGAATTCATTCTCTCTGACAAGCTGTTGGTTTTTTGACTCTACCGACTCAAGCCTCATAGCGAGACCCTCGACCAAATCTATTACTTGTTGCCTCGTCGTCTCCTTGGCATCACTTAGAGCATCTAACACTGCAGCTACTTGTTCCATAACACTTGCGGCTGTAATAAAGTCAATATTGTTATTAGAAATATGTCAAATAATATGTAATTTATTAGTTTACATTTTTTTTTCTCCATATAAACAATTGTTAAATCAAAAGTGTCGCAACTACTTACCAACGCTGTTGTACTTCTTCTGCGACTCTTGCGTTTGAACGACCTCTTTTGTTTGTTGTTCTTCTTTGTCTTCAAATTTGACCTTTAAAAAAAAAAAAAAAAGACGTTGAGAAGAAGAAAAAACCGACACCGTATAGACAGACAACACAACATACGGATCGACGCGTATGTTGTGTTGCCTATCGCGCAAGGCGTAATCCAACAACAATGCTAACCGTAAGTTTTACAATATCTTCGTTGTTGTTATTGTTGTTAATGTTGACTGTGGTCGAAGTGCCGTTAAGCTTGGTCGGAGGTGCTAGAGCGACGTTTGGTTGGAAGCTCCTGCTGAACTGTTCGGATTGCGTGTGAGATATGACTTTTTGCGGATCCACGAGTCGCGGCGGCCTCTCTCGTTTGATCAGGCTAAAAACAAGACGAGATAAATTTAATATCGGCACCGACCATAAAAAAAAAAAACGAGAGCGGTGTCTTTTACACTTCTCGAAACGTACTTGTCATTCCTGTAAAGATGAGAATGCGGATTGTTAAGATAAACGGCTGGCGGTGGTACCCAAGGATTGTAGAAATAATGGAACGGATCCACCATGTAGTTGGGCAACGTGGGTGCTGTCATGCTCAGGGCCGAATAATAAGCGGCCGCCACGGCCTGAGTAGGTGCTTCCTCCAACTTGGTCCTCTTCATTGACGGCGGCGGTGTTTCCGTTCTGGACGACCGCACAGTACATGACTCCGGTACCAATTCCATCAGCTGTGAAAACAAAACAAAACGCGTTAATTATACAAATTAAACGAGCAGAAGGACTAGTCTTTCTCTCTTTTGATAAGCCATAAATACTAATATATAATGCCAAAGTCGGTGCACTTTCATGCATGACAACTCGTGTCAATCGTTTAACACAACTGGCAAGCTATTGGTGTGTGTTAGGTTCGATAGGAAACTTTTATTTTCAAGAGTAATAGTGACGAAAGTAGAAAGGGGAAATAGCAGAGGAACGTGTAAAAAAGAATTGTAAGGTATTTGAGAATGAAAAAAAGTGGTTTGTGCGGAGATGGTAGGTCTTAGGAAGGAAACCCCACCCAAGTAGTCACATGAGAACTATCGACGAAACGGACGGCACAAGTGATATAATTTACCAAAAAATGTCCAATACCCTATTTTGTCTACAGCTAATTTCATGATAGAATGTAAGTTATGAAAGACAGTGTTGACGTGATGCGTGCAAATCAGTCCCTAGGTTTTTGTGAGAAAAAAATAAAAGGAAATTGAAACCTTTCATTCGGTAATAAATTGTCTAGCATAAGCGACGATCTGATAAAAATCAATATTTTCCTCCGGCTGTCCTCGTCATTACAGACGAGCCTAATTCTTCATTGTACACCTAAAGCGTTTGAAGACTTGAAAATACCGACGTACAAGTAGGTATAATAATTTCGACCATTTACGAAACCGTAAAACACTAACCGGTGCTAGGCCACCGAACCCAATGGTATTTTTAAACAGATACTTATTTCGTTCTTCATGAATCGAATTATAACTATAACCGAATATAATATGAATGCCCATAGTAGTTGCAACATAGCGTACAAATTATATTACTAGTGTACCAATCGACACGCGGACCGAAAAACTTTTGCATAGGTACTTTTCACTTTGACCCGTTAAATTATTAATTCTCCTACGGACACGCGATAGCTATTCCGCATATATTATTAAAAAATATTGTTTACCGCCAATAACTGTTCGTTCCTCGGTAATATCGATCGTTTAGAATAAATTAAATAGGTAGTCGATATACTAGCGTAAGGTCTGTTCGTATTATTTTACACAAACGACCCAGTGAACGTTTCTGACAATAATTATCGTTGATTTTAATGCCGCGTTTTAAGGTTAAATTAAACAACAGATTTCGATTTTAATACATTTCGGTAGAAATGTCACGAGACACAGAAACACTCATAAGTCATACTTTATTTTTATGACGGTTAAAAAGTAAATATTAATTTTATTTAACTGATAACCATCACCGAGCAACGCAATATTAAGTATATTAGAGCAAACTCCCAGTAAGAGCACTGTGACGGGCGAACGCACGAGGTGCTTGGCTGTAAAAATCAATTTGTTGTTGGCGCGCGGCTCCGCAGAAAATGTTACCGATTATAATATACGCTTAATAAACGCGGAGAAGGTAACGACAGTCTTACACTCCGGTAGTAGAGCTTAAAAGCGGCTTCGTCTAGTTTGTGACGACTAACAGTAACCGATTTTTTTTTCTCATTTCCGTTGGCAATTACGTTACAGAAAGGGTTGAGAGGGCAGAGGTTAAAAATCCCACTAAACCGCAACCGTTGACCCAGCATCGCGCCGCCGCTGGCGCCGTGTTCGTAAGGTTCACTTGTATGCAATCATCGTATGTACACAAGACTACTGTAGACTATCTGCCACCGTCGCGTCGTTGCCACAACAAACGGAGTCACGGCGGAAAGTTTACCGGCCGAACCAATGACCTAGGCAGGACGAAGACGAGCTGCTGTTTGTATCCATTGTCGTTTCCGCGGCTTTTACTTGTTTTTTTTTTTTTAATTTGTAACTGTCAGTCCTAGGCGGTAAAATTATCCGCCGACCCCGCCGTATAGTCGAACAGACGAAACAATAAGGGCGAGATCCGATTTGGGCAGTGTCGTGAGAACGTGCGCGGCGTAGACATAGAAATCACTAACGTCGCACACCCACAGTGAACAGACACCCTGTATGCATAATCGAACCCCGGGGTGGTATTGATCCGTCTGGCGGTGACGTCACGTCCAGACATCCCTCGTAGACGGTGGCGTTCGCGCGAGGAGGGGATGGGAAAGGATACGTGGCGGGCGGACCACGGGCGCGGAGAAGGGACCGAGACAAAGGATCGGGCTACGGGATGCTGTGGCTGCCTGGTCCGACCCGAGCGCATCGTCTGGCGGCGCCCCGTCGACGGCGTAACAAGAAAAAGGCACGCGAAAAAAATACAAATACAAGAGCGAGGAGTCCACCTCGCACAATGTCCGGCGCCGCAAAGCCACGACGGGTGTCTTTTTTTAAATACGCTCATACGTTACTGCATCGCTAGATACATGTATAAGTGTGTATAATATATTCCAATAACCTTCTTGGCGGCGGACCCACCCGTGAAAACGGCACTGGGCCCCGGGGCGACCGTGGAGGTATAATATTATACGTTAAGGTGGGAGGGGGAAACACGATCCGAACGAACGCGTGGAATGCATACGCTCGTAGTCTAATGTACAACAACAATGAAATAACACGGTCGACGGCGACCCGGCAAATATTGCGAGCAGATCTGTAGGGATTCCAAGGGAGTAAAAACTCCCGTTAACACAGAACATCTCAGACGGCGGTCGTCGGTCGACGATTACGGCGGAATCGGCATTTGATTTTAATCGGAGATGACCTATCGATATTCTAACCGTTCATAAGTATGCGCGTTGACGAATACGCATACTTGCGGTTGTAAAATGATGACATTTAAAGGGCCGAGGGTGAAATATACCGAGATGAAAATCAATTTGCAGAGAACTACGGTAGCGACGACAATGTACGGCGCGACGGTAAACACACAACGAAATGACGTTAAATATTCATAAGACGTTGTTTGTTTACAAGCGGAAAGCCCGAGGGTCGGAACGATAAAAACCCAGTTGCCGTTTATCACGGGATTCCAAAATAACAATTAGACGGAGACGACGTTTATATTTTACTACAAGCCGATGAGCAGTTTTCGAAAATTAATCATCACCGTGATTTGGTCGGCACTAACAACAAAATATTCAATAGCGATTACGAAGCGCGGTCGTGGGTTTCCTGGCCGGAAAGTAAGGTGGAAAAATAATCATTATTATAGTAATAATAGGGCGGAAAACGTAAACCATACAAGTATCAACATTTTAATTCTAAAGGATGAGATAACTCTTGAGTGGTTTGGACCGGTCAGATTATTTTAGTTTTTCTCTTTTACTCTTTCCGCTCAAAATACTAAATTCTGACCGGCTAAACGAAGGCCGTCGACTAACAATAAGCGCGTATTATATATTTAATATAATACTATATTATTTCCCTTTCGTCCGGTCGCGCGGATTGCCGGCAAACAGGTAAACCGGTTTGTACAACGCGCACGCACGTCAAGTCCCATTTGCCCGTTTCGGGTCTCCTAGGCGATTATGTTGCACAGCATCTCCATCTGTTCGACAGCTGTTGTTCGGCGTGCACGACACCCGAGATTTAAATGGTTCTTCTCCTAATAAATATAATGATGATAACAATAATAATAATAATAATAATAATATTCTCAGCACCCAAACACGAGGACCGCCTCGTCCAAATCATTGTCGGTTCGCGTTAACCTTTAACGACTATCGTCCTTCGGTTTCGATCGTCGGATAGTGGTTTTTCTCTAAACATAAACGATCCGTGTAACGCAACGTTGTTTTCGGGTGAATATTATATTATGTTCGCCTGAATAAAAAAAAAAAAAAGCTAAGGTAGAAGGGAATTAATAATTATGTAATTTTTTTTTAACTCTCGAATTTTCAAACATCAAAGCGAACATCGTTGTCGTGTTTGCGTGGGTTAATTTTCTGCATAATGTTAAAATAAAAAAATGCCGACCCGGCAACCGTGTAATAATAATAACGAAACTAAATATATGCGTGATAATACTTGACAATACTCAACGCATACCTACTGCGGTTATCGCGCCCGCACTGAATGTCGTTTTGTGGAACGCTGAGCGCAATAATTATTATTACGAAACTCGTGTTTTAGAATTCGTTTATTGTGCCGAAATGACTAAACATCGGCGACCGGAATTTAAATAGAGTAGAGGTAATAAAATAGTAATTAACATTTTGGATAAATGGGGGGAGACAAGAAAAAGCTACACGCTAACACAAAATCACCGGCTACAGTATACACAACACGTGGCGCCGGCCAGATATTTTAATATTATATACTTTATAAATTATTATTAGTGTTTTTAGTTAGTTTTAGCGGCCGTATAATAATAATAATAATAATAATAATAATAATAACCATCGACGGTGTGCAGTGATGGCGCCACCTCAACGCCAGGTTTTTAACCTTTCTCGCTGAAACGCCAACGGGGATAAATAAACTAATATATCACATTGTTATTGTATCGTTACCGACAACGTTAATTCTTATGATTTATGCACGTATACGGTTTACTAGTATCATTGAAAGGGTTGTATTATTGCAGGGTATACATAAAAGAATTGTTTGACAGTTTGACTTTGATATGAAAAGTGTTAGTGCTTCAACGGACTAGAACTATATAGACAGGCAAAAAGGCGAGCTGTATGTGTGTGTGTGTGTGTGAATGTGTATGCACAAGGCGATTGGATTGGCGTAGGTCATTACGTTCATTTTCAATCAAAGTCAATGTTCAGCTCTTCGCGTCGTATGTATAATATTAATAATAATATTTTGACTATGTGCAAAGCGTATTATTACCATAGATTATAAATAATACATATATTATGTATGTGGACTCGGTGATTGATATCCGCCGGTTGGCGGCAAAATCATAATATTGTTGTAATAGTAATATTAAAACTAGATCCGTTCCGAATCCGGAGCACTTGACAAGACGGACGGGGCCAGAACTTTAAGAACGATAAGTAAACGAGGTGAGAATAACGTACATACGTAATGTACGAGTTTCAAGGCAGATATAT